CGTTCGATGCGCCTCAAAAAGCTCTACAACATGGTATACCAGATTGAGGAAAAAGTTTGTGCACCGCGTTACTATTATTAATATTATAACACGGCGCACGAACTTTTTCCACAACCTAATATCTTCTCATTCACCATTCCTTTCACTCTGATCCACTATCGACGTTGATCTCGATCTGTTCAAAGCCTGCATCGCTACTGATTGACTACATCGATTCCCTGTAGCCACTGCAACACCCATAAATGTATACCACGAGTAGATAATTCTCTTTGAGGGCTCAGCCGGCCTTCGGCTGCCTTCGCCATCGCAGTTACCCTCGATACTTTCTCCACCGAACATCCAGCGTCGACAGCCCCCAAACCATGTTTTCGGACGTTTTGGTCAATTTCGAAGAAAATGTTTTTTTGACCTTTGACCCTTGACCGCAACCCCCATCCCACCCTACCAACATCTACCGTCAACCATCGTCCCAAACCATGTTTTATGAAGTTCCGAGCATTTGCAAAAAAAATATCATTTGACCTTTGACCTTTGACTTGCGACCTGCGACAGACGCACACACAAACAAACGAATTTCCGTTTTTTGACCACTTTTTTCGACATGACCCTCCTTACAGTCGAGGGAATTACACTCATGAGCAACGCTTCCGGACATACAAACGAGATCTACACCAACTTTGGAATGAAACATATCGATCAACACCAATCATTCATACAAGACTAATCGTTGGTAACAGAAACAATAGAACGTTAGCACGAGAGTTAGTACGTCATCGACACATTAAACATCAGCTGACACTACCCTGACAATAATTCGAGACATTGACTTCACGCCAAACCTACATTTCAAGCATCGTAGACTTCTCTGTATATATTATTTCTAATAAACTACTCATTTCAGTATGAAATTTGACACATATCTCAAACATTGACATATAAACCACATCTAGAACAAAACGTACATTCAGAACTTGATCTATCACAAATTACAATACACTACATAGCATTTCTGACCATCCTACATACACACAACACATAGAGAAACCGACAGTGTCTGATACAAAGTCGAAACTACCTGATGAGATTATTGAGCCTAGTCTAAACGCGCCTTGGTTTACTTCGACTCACGACTACGATAACGATATCTGCTATAAGAACGTTTTCCATGTTCTCGAATTCTGCAGATTAAGTAATCTACTTATGATCGTAGGATCCTCCGAGTAATTACGTAGTCTAAAACCAACTGATAAGACTGCCTAAGCAACAGTCGAAACGCGTCATGGTAGCTCGACTCAAGATAGGCATGCACCAAACCCAGGAAAACACCGGGAATCCCGGGCTCAGTGCATGCCTAGACTTAACGCCTCTGTCAGAAGAGGATAATATGCGAGAACAAAGATGTGATAAGTTATTTTATTTTGAGGAGAATTGGAAATTTCTAATGGTAAAAAAGCCACCACTTCCACCAGTNAGACTGCCTAAGCAACAGTCGAAACGCGTCATGGTAGCTCGACTCAAGATAGGCATGCACCGAACCCAGGAAAACACCGGGAATCCCGGGCTCAGTGCATGCCTAGACTTAACGCCTCTGTCAGAAGAGGATAATATGCGAGAACAAAGATGTGATAAGTTATTTTATTTTGAGGAGAATTGGAAATTTCTAATGGTAAAAAAGCCACCACTTCCACCAGTAAAAACTAGATAAATTTTTTTAACACCAGTTACGGGTGTGATTGTCGTATTATAAATTTGAAATCCTCGAGATTGTGCATCTTGTACTGAACATCTTCCAAGAACTTCGCCATCGAATCGATCTCGACGAATTTCAATTACTCCGCGTTGACCTGCTATAGCACTCGCATTAACTTGAAAGATATTTGCTCCCTGATCGAAATTAATGTTGTTAAAGCATACCCAAGCACCAGTGTACGTTGGGGTTAGTGTTTGCTCGTTCGTTGGCGATCGGTGCAGTGTAGTATTGCAATCAGTATCATAGTAGCCGATGCTAATTGGTTCGCTGACATTAAAATGATTAGCGGGACCAACTGTACTTTCGAGACGTAAATAATCGAAATCAGCAAAACCCGATGTACCATTTCCTACATGATAACAAAAAAGTCCAAAACGCGAACCCAAAAAGGTTGCGTAAGTAAGAGCCATTTGCAAATCATTTCCTAGTTTGATATAAGTCTTCTCATTGTCGAGACTGTAATAAAAAGAAGCAAAGCTTTGGTCATTGGTAATCACTTTGAAGTGAATCTGATTGTTTGTAATTGGTTGAACGACTTCAATGATTACATCTTCAATGACCATCACAGGTATTCGTTGTCCATTCTCTTGACGTATACCAATATAAGCAAAAGGAAGATTCCACATGGCAAGACCGGTGACATCACCGTCCTTCAAATTCGATAAGTCAATCAATGTACGACCAGAAATACTAGGACCAATAAGACGTTTAACAAGAGTGTTTCGAGCTTCCTCCACAATACGAGCTGGTGTTGCATGCAAGCGCATAAAACCTGGGCGTTCTGTGAGACTCCATTTCGTGTCATCAGGATTATGACTCCATTGCCATTCTAAGCTCAACGTTGGCAAAGAAAACTCATCACTATGCACCGGACTGATTGGGGTTACTGTAACGTTAGTTGCAGGCTTAGGATAAGTGGGTTGCACTTGCCCATATGTAGTTCTGTTGTCCTGTTTCAATACTGGCCAGTCGTCTTCCCATTCGATAGGGAACAGAATAGGAGGACGTCCAGCAAAATCATGATCTTGAAAGAGGAAGAACCACGAATCTCCGTTGGGTAGATCAAGAAAACCACCCTGGTGTAATCCGTTACCAGCATAGTTCATATCATTGTCGATCACTACGCGACCTTCATACGGTCCATAGATACTTCTTGAACGCCATATAAATTGTTTACCGCCTCCAGGATTGCAAATGTAATACCAACCATTCCTTTTATACATATGTGAACCTTCTATTCCAGGATTATCTAATTGATAAATTTCTCTCTGCGGTGTCACAACATGGAGAAAGTCTGGACTTAACTCGGTTATATAGATGGTATTTTGACCGTGCGCAACGTAGACTCGACCATCATCATCAAAGAACACTCCGGGATCGTAGAGACGATAGTTCAATAAGATTTGTTTTTCATAGGGACCTTCGGGCTTATCAGAAATGCAAGTGACGAAGAAACCGAGATTATCATAATAGGATATGTGGAATTTGCCACCAAAATAGCGAATAGAAGGAGCCCATGCACCGCCATTGTAGAGACTTGATCCATTGGGCATATTATAAATGTCGGCATAATCCAGTTTCTCGAACGCATAACCAATTATCTGCCAGTTGACTAAATCCTTGGAGTGACTGATAGGTATACCAGGTGTCAGACACATACTTGAGCATATCATATAGTAATCGTCACCCACTCGAATAATGTCCGTGTCAGGAAAATCTCCCCAAATAAACGGATTTGTAAATGTACCATCACCGTTGTCTGAAAACCGGGATTCGTATATTTGATTGGGAGTTACTGAAAAAGAAGACACCGTTTCAAAATACCTTAAAACTTGGAGGGTGGGTGTGGGTGCGGATGCAGAGAAGATAATACTAACACCCAAACCCACGCCCACCCTATCGACACTCACACCCATACGAATATCCTAAAACTTTTGGGACGTGACAAACTAGATTCGGGGCTGGGAAAAGCTTGCCCCCCAGAACACTACCACCCACCCACCCCTCACCCACACCGCATAGGTGCTACCTGTAAATCATCAAAAATATGTCATTTAAACGCTCATGAATAAATCAATATCTTATCTAGTTGATCTGTAGCAACTCTATCTATTATTCGTATTTCTGATTTATTAGTAAACTATAATTACCAGATTGTGCTGATGCAGTCGATTTGAAATTTCGTGGTGAAGTAAGAACAAAACCAAGAACCAAGATAAAAGCTATCGTAGAAACTATGAAAGGAATGAAGTATAAAATATAGATTTGTCGTTTTTAAAAGAATACTCACGACATATATGGTTCATAGGCATAGTATATCTTTTATACAAGTGAAATAAACGAAAAATGCAGAGATCCTTGCCGATAACCACGTTATATGCATCTATTATTTTTATAAGAACAGCAAAAGATAAATATTATTATTTTTAACAAACGATGAAATGCGTTATTGTTATCTTCATATAAGAAAATGAAGAGTCCAACGGAGAATGTAAATGCATGCACTATACACTGTAAGAAATAGAAGTAGAATAATAAAGGGTATTAGTAATCTATGCTATCACCACAAACACCTAACTTTTTCAGAACACACATATGTTGCTTTTCCCTCGACTGGAAGAAGGGTCTTACGAAAAAAATAGTTTGTCTGTCTGTGTCAGGGTCAAGGGTCAAAGGTCAAAAAAACATTTTTTCTAAAAATGCTCAAAACCTAATAAAACAAGGTTTGGGAGGGGTGTTTAGGCTCAAGGTTGGTTGCTGGAGGCTGATTGAGAGCTTGAAGGTCAGAGATCAAAGGAACATTTTATCAAAACCCTTAAAAAACAAAAGCGTATTATTTCCAGGGGGTATATTACTGAAAGTTTGTAGAGACACCATTTCCAACGAGTACCTTCAATCACCCTACAGCTACGTACATATAGTAGAGAGGTGATCGTGTTCTGTTAATGCCTTGCATGCTCACTGCTGCCCTCGATTCAAAAAATATCATCTAATTTCTTTGACGGAAAGAAGGGTCATACGAAAAAACCGTTTGCCTGGCTGTGTCAGGATCAAAGATCAATACCTAGAAAAACTTCCAAATACCGTTCGAATATCGATGCAACTGACCAAATAAATATCGAGGGTTCTAAAATCGACGAATTGTAATGACGTCGGGGCAGTTATGGCTTTAATGTTTCTTAGGCGTTTGTTGAATGTTAGGAAGCTACTTTATATTGGATTCTTAACTATGAGTTTTGCATGACACTGACGTATATAGAAACAGCGTCCTGGTGTTCTAAAAGCTTGTGTACAATACATAACCAACAGTGGAACGCCTGGGCATTGGTAAGATAAGAAGAAAATTTAGGTAACAGCCTAGAATGTCCTTTTTAAAACGTCCTTTACACAATGTCCTTGTCGTTTTGTCCTTTTAAAAATGTCTTTGAGAAAAAATATTCTTTGAAAAAATGTCCTTTGTAAATGGTCCACAGTCATTTAGTCCTTTGAAAAAAAGTCCTCTTATGAAATATGTCCTTTTAATGAAACGAGAATTTCTGAAAAAATAATTGAACCTTTGGAAATACTACAATAAATTTTTTTATTTCTGATTCACAATAAAAAAAAAGAAAGACCACGTAATAAATCCTGTGCTGTTATTTGTTTCTCATGAAATCGATCATATAATTCTTTCATTCGTTGTTCGGCGATTCGAGATTGAGATCGTTTTGTTCGACGAATCATCCCACTGCTTATCTGACTAATTAAATCGTGAATTATGTGAACTTCTTCCCGAATCGAATTGATAAATAACCATATGTTAGGATGAGTTCTTTATAAACGTTTTCTGAATCGGTTATTGTAACCTAAATATACGTAATAGCTTTTTTGATAAAAAATACAGTATTCTTCTTTGGAGACCTTCGCTATAGTTATTTGTTCGATCACAAATTTCGTATACATTCCAAGTGTGGACTTGACGCATCCATTGATTGTTAAAATACTTCACTAAATCGGCTATTTGTTCGCGTTCAGCTTCACTTAATTCTTCACCAAGCTCATTAAATAATTCAGGAACATATGCTGGTGGCACAAGAGCTAAGCCCATCATCCGCCTAATCACGGAACGAACCATGAGATTATCGAGATACGTCGATGTCAGACCAAGTGATTGAACATGTCTGTATACGCTTTGACAAAAATGAAAAAAACACCCTTTTTGGACTGTTTTTCCCGTGAACTAACAAATGAAGATAAAAGTTATTTTTTCAACAAAAGTCTCGATATTTTCAGTAAGAGTATACCTGAATCGATATTGCCTTCGATAAACCTGGCTCAAAATCGGTCATAATGGTTAATGGATCAAATATTTCATTGCATTTCTTTGCTGCGGCAAATAAAACATCGAATAAATATATATACGTTGGAGCTTTACGATCAGGAAGAAGTGCATAGACCACCGGCACACCTATTATGAAATGAAAGGCAATTCATCAGTATAAGGAACCTTGGTATTGAGTAATTTAGGATTAAAAGATAGCTTGCATGTTCCATGATGAATGGCTTGGACGATAAAAACCTGTTTAAAGCTCTTTGGAGAGGTAGAAAATGTGCCATCCATATGCAACCTTTGACTATTGAATAATAAATTTAGTTGCATATCTGACGACCAAATTAATATTCTTCCTGATGGGTGTATATCACTCGTTACATTGGATTGAAATTTGGGGTCAGTATTGTCGTGCAATAACAAACGATCACGATTAAGATAATCCTTTGTGTAAATTTCTGGTATGACAAAAGACGATGATTGTGGTATCGGAGGAAGCATGTTTCGACGTGTATTACCCAAACTATGACCTAACAGAAACATGCAAATAGAAAACAAGGTCTATGAGTGGAGCATACAAGTGGAGTACAATACCGATATTCAAAATATTTGGCAGTACAGCTAAAGCTTCACCACTTAATAAGCCACCTCGTATTTCTTGTTCAGCGATTTCTTGAAGTGGTATTAATTCATTTTCTGCTCTTTGCCGCATTTTTTCTTTAACATCACGAATTTCCACTGTGCTCGTGTTTGGTAAATGAGTGTGTTCGGTCTTCTTTCCAGAAAAGCGCACGAATTCATCGTTGAGATTTGTATGCAAAAGTACACCACAATCTCGCACAGCGCAGCGCCAAAACTTGAGTGTTTTATCTTTGTTAAAATTTTTTAATTGAAATTGGTAACCCTCAATATTCAGCATCACTCTTCGTTTGTTCGATGTTGTTTTCGTGATTGATGGTTTCAGTAACGTTGGAGATTTCGGCGATGCTGATGGTGGACTTGATTTCGAAGAGGACGAAGGTGTTGAACAGAGCCACGATACATTGGTTGAAAAAAAGGAATTCGATGATGATGCTGAATTTTCATCGGTGAATACTAAATCAAGAGACGACATTGAAAGATATTTATATTTTGATTTGATAGAAGATGAGCGCAGCAAGTTGTGCTAGAACAACTTTCCATACCATCATCCTTCCTTCATTTCACATTTACAATAAAGGACATTTTTCAAATGGGGGACATTTTTTTAGAAGACGTTTACTTCGAAAACATTTCGTACGAGGACTTTTTTGAAAGGACCAAATATAAAGGACATTTTTTCCTGAGGACAAAACTGGAGGACATTTTTTCCGAAGACTTTCTATCAAGGACATTCTAGCATGTATTCAAGTTTTGCGTACGCATTCAAACTAGTACGAACTTCATAATTTTTGATCTGGTCGAAAGAATCTGGGAAATAATTACTCTCAATCCAATCTGAATTGTGCTCATAAGTGTATAAATGGCGTGGCTTTCGACTCGAACGATTGAAAAAAAATCATCTAAATTCAACGATCGGAGTTTAATCTAGATTACTATCTCAGTGTGATGGAATGATGGTGCAGTTCCGATGGAATCCATCAAAATCGACATGAAATCCAGGATAATCCAGGTAAAATTTATCTTATTCCCGGTAAAATGCTTTAAAATCTGTTAGAATTCTGGTGAAATCCATCGCAATCTTGCTGCAATGCATCGGGATTAAGGTAAAATCGATTGTAATTTTTGGAAATTGCATTGTACTCCAGGTATAAATGACGATAATCTAGAAATAGATTAATGAATCCAAGTGGCACGTCCGACAGGAATGAGGGTGGATAGCTTCCATGACGCGTTTCGTCCTTGCGTAAGGGACTTATCAAATGGTATAAACATTCTTATTGATCTATTAAAACACACAGAAAAATTCTGATGATTATTAATGAGTAACTGTCTCGGATTTTCTCGAATGATAATTAGTTGATCAACTGTTATGAAGAAATATATGGGAAAGGTGATACGCAGTAGAATTTCCTTTCTATGAACTTCGTCTTTTAGATTGTTATATTCAAATCTTTGTTATCAATGGTTCGAAAAAACTTGTTCAAAGAAACTTAATGGAAGTGAGGATGAGTTTGAAAATGGATATAAAAAGAGTCAAATATAAGAAATCTTCTAATTTGTCCACGAGAACAAGGATACAAATATATTCAAAGTAGCTACAGCGATAATGATCAAATGATTTACTAATATAGATTCTAATTGTTGCACGAGGACTAGAGAAATCTAGTTAAGCAATTAGAGAAAATTCGAATGTAGCAAAACAGAAAACTTAATCCACGACATATATAAAAAAGATATTTAAAGAAGATCAGATAGTCTAATTTGTAAAACAGCCGACCGGTTATCGGAAGATGTGGGTTCGAGTCCTGCTCTGATTTTATGATCTTTTTGAATAAGTTTTCCGTACTTATTTGAACATGTCACTGTGGACACTTTAAATACATTCAAATCTTTAGTCTCGTGGACCAATGAGAAGATTTCTAATATCTGATTCTCTCTAATCTTATGTTTAAACTCACACCCTCAATAAGTGTCTTTGAGAACCTGTTTTTTTAGTCTGCATTGATATTTTATACTGATTCAATACTTAGGCAAATATGCAAGATGATATTGAAATGACTGATCGCTGAAAAGAAAAAAATCGAGATTAGAGCACTTAAGTTCTTTCTTTTGCTTTTGCTGCGAGAGGCAAGTTGCTCTATTATACCAGGAGCGAACGAATATATATAAGATGAAAGAAAAGAGAAACGTAATGGTTATTCATCGTTATAAATCCCGAAGGCGTTGCCAATCAATAAATCAGTTCAAAAAGACAACAATAATAGGGTATGCTGTTTAAAAAGAGAACATAAAAACTAATTACCTCACACTCTCAAACTACAATCTTTCTTGCTCGTTCGTTCACTTTTTCATATAATAAGCAACACAGCGAACGACAAAATATAATAGCGATCGTTACTCTTTTTAACTAACCTGAAGAGAATAATAAAGGAAAGATGGTTGCTACCGCGTCAGCAGTCAAACAAACGTGTGCAAGAGAACGTAGTTTTTTTTCTGTGCGTCTATTCGATAAGGCACTCCGAAATGGTGAAATACTTTCTTTTACTCTTTTGGGCTCTTCTTCACTTTTCTCGGCTCCCTTTTTTTGCAAGCATGAATAAAATCAACTTTTCGATATGTTATAAATTTAAGAAGGATTAGTGACGGCAAGACCATTTCTTCGTTCGAATTATTTTTTTTTAAAGAATTACATATTTGGAATTAACCTTAAAAGCCACATATCCCTTACAAGGGAATTTTATTAATGGCGATAGAATGAAGGGAGAGAGCCTTATTCACGAAAGCTACTGTTTTTTGAAACAAAGATACACAGGATGAGGATACGATGGAAAAAAATATGCTAAAATTTTAGGACCATTTTGGGGCAAATAATCAGGGTTTTTTTTTAAATTTTTCAGCAATAGATAGGTTGAGATAGCTCAAAATAGCGTAAGAATGAACTTATAGTGATTCTGAACCATATTGAAAACTCGCCCGAACAAAAAACTATACACATCATATTTCACTCAAGCCATGTAGGTGGAAATGTTTTTTAGTCACACTCAGCGGTTCTGATCACGGTATGTGCTTATTGAGGGTCCAAAAGCTCTATTTATATAATTAATTCGTTTTCAGTTTCACAGGAACCCTCTTCGGCTTCTAAAGGTTAAATTTCTAAAGTTTTAGTTGTCTTCGGTAAAGTGTTGCTTCTAAATTTGCTCGAAACTTCTTTGTCATCAGAAGAAGGTTTTTTCAACAAACTGATGTTGTAGCACATGGTTTTAGACATGTCTCGACAATATCTTTACTTAATTTTATTTTGCTAATATTCATCTGTTAGGATATGAATTAAGGAAATCATCGAGATTTTTTTAATCTGAAATAAGAAAAACCTATTTAAAAAGCAAAACTCTGTTCTAGACATCGACAAAGCTCCATAAGTTCAGAAAGAACTATTCAAAATAGTTCTTTGGTTGATTCCAATGGATTGCAAGAAGTTGAGTTCGACGAGTTCTACTCTCCTCGCTATAAAATGTCGCGATAGAGAACGAATCACTTAATTCATTTTAAGCTTAATTTCCACTCCTTTATCCATATTAATAGAATAGTAACGGATTAAAATGTTAGAAGTTCAATGATACCTATAGAGCCGGTTTATAGGACTCTACAGTGCACACTTGCAAACAGTATTAGTTTCGTGAGACAGTTGTCTTTAATTATTTAGATATTCTCACGTTGTTAATTCAATCACAGTCACAAACGAATCAAGTGATAAGAGAAGAAAACAAATCAATAGCGCAAAACTAATTTGAAATGGAAGCTGAGAAATTAGTGCTGGTAGAAGAAAAATGTCGACCATGTGATTTTCAATTCCATTATCTTGATTGTAGCGTTTATATGGATTTTGCAATAATTGATGATCAAGTCCAACTGCTGCGTATATCTTTTGACGGTTATGGTTGTCTCCAACTAGACACAAAAATGAAACTCATGGAAAAGAATGACTCGAAGACGTTAATTGAAATGGTTAACATGAACACTATTGACACAAAAAAGATTATGCCTATATTAAAGAAATATTTCAATGAAAATAGAGAGTTGTTTTGGCTTGATGCTATGACTAATTATAATCTTATATAATAAAATTCTCAGCGAAATGAAAATTGTTTAGTTATATTCCTTCGACTAACAGGAGGATTATATGAGAAAAAAATAGTTTGTGTAAGGTGCAGCTTATGTTGAACGAACTGCAACTGCGAGTATCAACAACGAAACTATCTTGAATCAATTTGAAAGATTGTTTCAAATGCTCCAATTCAAACAGTATTATAAAAAAACATCAAACTGATATTATTGTGGATAATGCAAGAACTCATACGGCCAAGGCTTATTCACTGCAAGACTTTAGAAAATCCGTGGGAGGTCAGTGTACTGTTGACTGTATCGAGTATCTTGATGAAGATGGTAATCCACAGATTATTGATTGCTATTTCGAAAATGGAGCAAACAAAGGTAAATCAAAGGGTTTAGTTGAAATATGCAAAGATTTAGGTATATAACTACCACTTAAAATTAAATTAGAAGAAATTCGAGAACTATTGTCAGGACATACAGCATTTCAGAACGTAAGTAAAGCAGCTCTATTTCATTAAAAACACATCACGCACTCTATTCTTTTACTTCTCTTTATCTAGGCCACAAAACTCGAAACTCTTGCACTCAAATATAAAGTTAATGTTATATTTTGTCCAAGATATCATTGTGAACTCAATGCAATTGAAGGCCTTTGGTGTAGTTAGAAAGTATTTGTTCGTTCACGTACCGACCAAGCCTTCGAAAAAATGATAAAATTAATATCTGAATCTCGTGCATATTTTGTCGAAAGGAGTATTGAACTAAAACTATTTCGTCGTTTTTGGCATGCAGTTGAAGCATATTCTCAAGGGAAAAACATATGATGAGGTGTTAAAACTATTCCTTAGTCAATTGTGTAGTGCATCTGTTCAATCACATCGACGAATACCAAACGATATTACAAACGATGATTAATAGTTTTTTTTTCTAGTTGTAGTTGAAATAAAGTTTTTAAAACATCTAAATTTATGTTTAAAATATTCTCACATATTGTCTAAGATACAACGAGCAAACCTTAGAAAGCTGATTTCCTATACCACCAGTTAAAGTGAACTTTTCTTCACAAAGAAAAAAGATCAAATCAAAAGCGATGCGTAGTCTTTTGAAGGATGGTATGAGGATTAAAATTTTAAAAAAATTGGCCCCCCTCCACCTCTCTGCAAAAACTAGATAGGTTTACAAGATCCACCTATTAGTACTGTAGTGGAAGCTATGAGAAATACCACTATTATAAAAACATTTGGGTTAATACCAATTTCAGATGTTATCTAGGATCAGTTTTTGATGCTGAATCTAGAAAAGAAAGCTTCAAAAAGTTTCAAGAAGAGGAACATCGTGATGCTTGCATTGCGTGCACCTTACTAATACTAAGCAAGACAAGATGGTGTTGGTAAGTAACTCTTCATTTATCGAATATATACTTATCTTGAGATTCTAGTTGTCCAGGTAAGAAGTTTTTAACTCTTATTTGTTTTCTGGTTAGAAAACCATCGTCCATGTTTCATTTGTCTTTCATGCATCTATTTTTCGTCATTGTAAAGCAGTTTTTTGTTGTTTTTTATGCAAACAAATTGAAAATAAATACTCAAAAAAGTGAATAAAAAACAAATAATTGTAATCAGAAAAGCCTGTAAAAACCCATCGGATCCTGTCCATTCTGGGATTTTCGATGGAACAGAAATGATAAACGTTTGTTCAACAACACAAACCTATTCTTTATATTTCATATTTCGCGCTTTATGTAAATGTCGTACAAATACTGACAAGCTCTCTATAAATTTGCTCTCAGTTTTTTTTTATTTCAAGAAAAAAGAAAACGATCTTAATCCTAACAAGTAACACAAGATTATGTAAAAGATAGATATTCGGATTGACATGTTTATAAACAAATGAATAAAAGAAAATATGTATGCAAAAATTTATTTAAAAGAATCAATCAGATAAGCAATTATTTTCTAGATAGTTTATTTTCAAATCCCCCTTGCATTTCAACTATTTCCTTAGACTTGTTTGCTTTTCGTATTCTAACAATATAAATACCAGCTATAGATAAACAAATAATAAGAATAATTGTTAAAGGAATCATTATTGCTAATATTATTTTCCATTTCTGATCTTCTTTTATTACTGCTGCTGCTGATGTTGATGATGATAATGAAGTTGATTGAGTAGATACTGTAGTTGTAGTACTTGTCAAATTTAAACAATATGAATCAATATTCATACATTGTTGAGTTAATTGCTCTACAATTGATTGATTGGATAAACAAGTTGGATGTTCAAGAAATATCTTGACGAACATGAATACAAAACAATTACATGGATGATCTTTATCAATACGTAGAAATCTTGGATTTAAAATGTGAAATAATGGTTTTGCTAAACAATAATCATCATTATGAAATTGAATTTTATTCAGACGAATTTCTAAAGCAGATGATTGATTATTTGATAGTGTAGATGAATTATCTCTTGGTTGATAAAACCAAAAATGATCTGTTTTTGGTATTGCTGAAAGATCTAGATAATATACTGCTTTCAATCTTGTAAATAGAAACCAATTAATTTCCATTAGGTTTGTACAATTTACTAATGATAAACTAAGAAGATTTGATGAAATATAATCAAGAAATGAACTTGTAACATTTCTAGGTTGAAAATCTTCATCATATATTACGTTAGTTGTTTCTAAAGAAGAAAATAAATTTGACGATAAATCCAAAATTAGCAATGATGTTGTATTATTAAAAGTAAATGGATGAATTGAATTAATATGATTCGAACTTAAATCAAGTTCAAAAAGTTTATATGTGTTTTGAAATGAATTTTCTTCTAAATTTTCAATTTTATTATTAGATAAATATAATTTGGTTAAATTCGAAAGATTTCGTATTGGATTAAAATCATGCAGAAAATTATTTGTTAAACTTAATTCAGTTAACGTTTGAGCTATTGGGTATAAAAATGATGTTAATTCATTATGAATTGTTGAAGTTTCAAGTGATTGTAATTGATTATGTGATAATGTTAAAACAGATAAATGCATACCAAGAAATGCATCAGATGAAATATGTTTTATTTGATTATATGATAAATCAATACCATGTAAATGTGTTAAATTTGTAAAAATATTTGATTTGATTTCTTCAATTAAATTATTATCTAAATCAATATTAATAATATTTGTAAATTGAATTAAAGAAGGTATTTCAACTAAATTACTGAATGTTAAAACTAATCGAGTTACAGATTGAGGAACGAGACTTTCAATAAGAGGATCAATGTTTGTTAAAGAACAATTTCGTAATTGAATTTCTTTCCATATTAAAGAAGGTGATTGATTTGAAGTAAATTAAATTTTATTTGAATTTTCAATATTTATTCCATTAACAATTGCTTGATTAAATGCTTTTAAATTGAAATTATATGAAGGATGATGAATTGTATTATTAATAAGAAATTCTTGATATTTCATTCCACTAAAAGCATTATCAGCAAGTCGAAAATTTCTGGGTGATTGAAATTCAATACGAACTGATATATTTCGAAAATATTCCCATGGATAAAAGATATCGCTTGCTATTTCATCAATTCCATTGATAAAACTGAAATCTATTTGTTCAGGTGAAAGAAATGTTAAGGAAAATTTTGTAAATGTAAATGATGTTAAACGTGTAAAATTAATGAAATAAAATTTATAATATGGATGTGTAGAAGGCGATAGTGTTGACCAATCGATAAACGTGTTATTACTTGGAGAATTTTCAATACAAGTCACAGAACTTTGATTATCTTTGCAATCACATGTAATAAATGAATTATTAAGACATATTGTTTGGGATTTAATTAAATTTGTTATTAAAATTAAATGAATAGTATAGAAAATATATTTGAATCGAACCATTTTTGTAAAAGTAAAAGAATTCTTTTGTCATCATTTTGTTAGATCTTTTATCTTTTATACAAGACACGGTTTTCTTATCAATTCTATAATGACAAATATATTTTATGCTTTGTGATATGGTGTTTTTTGAGTACTTTTCGTCATAGATGAGGAGTGAAAGATATTTCGATTTGATGTCGCCCACCGGTGGACGATGCTATATTTTAACGGGAAACTGTATAGAAAAAGACACTTTCTTTTGCTGTATACGATGCTCCGTTACATACTGACTTTTCGTCGGAAAATAAAAAGAAACCCAACAACGTGTGGCACGTTCTTTAATTTTACAAATGAATTGTTTGATCAAACTTACTCAACAGATGCGAACAGAAGACATACGATATCTTCAATTACATGAACGACTTCGTCAAGGTCAATGTAGTTATGAAGATTATGAATTATTATTGACGCGCGTTGTGGGACAGCCAACCGTATCTCTTCGTGAACCGCCATGGAATCAAGTAAAATATATTTCGCTACTCTAAATAAAAACATATTTTCTCTGTTTTTCTTTGTTTTAGGCTCCCATGCTTGTATTTAGAAATGAAATACGAACGCAATTGAACCACAGATCAGCAAATCATAATGCAGTAGAAGTCGGTACCAATCTAATTCTATGTGTTGCTCAGGACTTTTGTAAAGGCAAGGCTGTGGAGGAGCCGGCACTCCTTAAAAAATTATTAGAGCTATCTGATAGTAAGACTGAACATTTACCGAGTTTATTACCATTAGTTCCTGGAATGCCGGTTATTATTACACAAAATATTGCTACTGAACTGGGATTAATTAATGGTATGAATGGAATCTTTAAGCAACTGGTTTATGATCTTGATTCAGTGTCAACAGATAGTCTTTCAAATACTTTTCCAACAAACGTCCAATATATGCATTGGTCGAAATCAGTAAATCAAAAATTGAATGTAATCTTAAAAATCTGCAACCGAAACTTATCCCAATACCAATAACGGAATAAACATTCCAAGTTGACATTTCTGATATTCTTACGAAGATAAACAACAAAAAATCAAAAATAAATAGAAAGACAATGTTATCGATTAAGCGACGCGCACTACCTCTTGTACCTGCCTATTCTATCACAACTCATAAAAGTCAGGGACAAACTTTAAACAAAGTTCTAATTGATTTAAAGTTACTAAAGGATACAGATGATATCGCTGCAGTCTATGTACCATTGTCCAGAGTTAAACGTTTAACTGATTTAATTATTTTGCGACATTTCGATTACAAAGTCTTACTGATTAAACCCAGTAAATCTCAAGTCGCCGAGATGCAAAGACTAGATAAATTCTACATCGAAACACAGATGCGTTTTTCAGAGTGGTTCTAACAAATTTTACAGAACACTCCAAATCTTCACTACTTGTCATTCATTTTTCGCATGGGATTTATTTGCATCTTTTATAATTGAACAAATCTCTTGTATAATTCAAACTTTTTTCTATTCATAATTGTTTGTGAATAAAAGTGCAAATTTTCATTCGAATTTTTCCGCAGATGTATTTTTTGTTTAGCTTGTCTGATTTGTATTCATTTACATTCAATATTCACATGCTTCTTCTTTTCTTTTGTGCAGTTGATCATTATATCATTAGCGTGTCTTTACTTCATAGAGAAATAAATAAATGCAGTTTATATTATATTAGAAAGTAGTTTTCTTAACTGAAACAAAGAAAAACAAATATCAAATTGATAATATATTGTGATATTTTCAGTCGAGGGTAATGCGAGTCACCTCCGACGAGCGTTATTNCATTTACATTCAATATTCACATGCTTCTTCTTTTCTTTTGTGCAGTTGATCATTATATCATTAGCGTGTCTTTACTTCATAGAGAAATAAATAAATGCAGTTTATATTATATTAGAAAGTAGTTTTCTTAACTGAAACAAAGAAAAACAAATATCAAATTGATAATATATTGTGATATTTTCAGTCGAGGGTAATGCGAGTCACCTCCGACGAGCGTTATTTATTTCAAAACCAGGATTATTTATAACCATACCAGCTTCATTCTCATTGGAAATCAATGTCCATACTTTAACGTACTTGGTGGTTCTTGTTACCGAAAAAATAATAACCGAAGAAGCTCTAAACCTATCGCTTTTCAACTCACAAATATGTCAGAGTGTTTTTCGCTTAGCGCGATCAATGTCTGGTCCATTTTCTAGCGTGGTAAACTTTTCCGTCAACGAATTTCTTCAACGCGTTGAAAAATTGACCGTTCTTCAGAATATCAAATGTTCGTGTGATTCAGGTATTAGTAGTTTAGTTTTTCCGAAACACCATAAACAATCACAACAAACGCATCAATTACCGTCAACAAACACAACGAATGATATTACAGAAGAATTTATTGAAAAAACCGTATTTAGTGCTTATCTTTATGCTAGTCAAATTCTTTCTGGTTGTAATTTATCGATTCTTAATCCTAATGGCAAAAGTATATCATTTGAAGAGGTTAATCGATTAGCTCACCAAAAGTTAGCAAGGTCGCAATGTAAAGCTTTTAGTACAAAAGATAGTCAATCGAGTAATCATAAACAAGATGAAGATGAAGATCTTCGACAATATTTAAGTCAAAAGCAATCCGGTGGAACAAAAATAATGGATGATCTAGATGAATTGATCTTAGATGAAGAATCAGATGCAGCCAATTTATTAAATGTATCTAGTTCAACATTTAATGGAATGCGGATCTTCGATTCCATTGGTGCACACCAAACTGAATCGTTCTTTCCCGTTGAAATAAATGGAAAGAAAAAAGATTTTCATAAACAAGCACCTAATTGGTATTTCTCGAAAACAAAACCTACTTTATCAGCTGATCGATCGATTAGAGTTCAAAAGAGATAGTTTTTTTAAATATATTTGTCTGCTAAATATATACAGACTATTGGTATAATAAAAGATGATCGTTCTATATTTCTATCCTGTCACTTTAATGTAATCAACTAAGATTCAAATCTTGCGGTCATAAATATATACACTACAGTTAACTTGTTTTTGAAAAAGGAAAAGAACTCTTCGCACTAATTAAATTACTTCTTTTATATGTATATCAAACACCACCTTAGATAAACTATAACATATAAAGGCGTAAGGTATTACATTTCCTACGCGGAAAGGAAAAGAAGAAAGTAGAGACGTTGGTAGCGAGCTATATCCTTATAAGTCATTAGAAGGTGTCTGATTCAGATGATTTTTAAATCAGAAAAATCACCTAAAATGATTTTAGATCAAAAAATCACCTAAAATCATTTTAAATCGAAAAAATCATCTCAAATCATTTTAAATCAATAAATCACAAATTGTTTTTTCCCCCTTGTTTGTTATTCTACTTCTACTTTTATGAAGATAGATATAAAGACATTTGTGGTTGATGAGGATTTCATCATCTTTTCTAATTGTGTCGCTATTAAGGAAGAAAAATAGCTGGAATCATAGCAATAAGTCAAAATCGGACTATCGTCGTTATTAGGGAAGAAAAATGGCTTGGCGTCGTTATTAGGGAGAAAATTTTGCTGGACGTCGCTATTAGGGAGGCATTTTTTTCCGAGTCACTACAAGTGATCTTTGAACATCGTAGAACTCACCTATTACCTTATCAAGGAATGATGAACCGCTAGATATCGGTAGTATTTGAGATGCTCTTCAAAGTTGTCAGCAGAACTTAGGGTTGTTTTCTGAATAGAAATTGTGAAAAAAGCCATTTTCCAAAAAGTCGTCTACTTTAGCATAATTTTCGCTGGAACGTCGCTATTAGGGAAGAAAATTAGCTGGCCGTCGTTATTACGGAAGTAGAACCTAATAGCGACAGTAGGACTTCTCCATTTTATACCGCTGATTTCTCCATGAAAACGTGAACGAAATTGAATAAAAAATATACCATTCGAAAGAGCGTCATCGGTAGATCCCCCAACATAAAATAATTAGACACAGGTCATAGAATAGAGGAACGCCAACTCAAACAAGATAGTGTAGAAATTTCCCGTCGCTATTAGGGAGATTGCCTCTACAATTCATCAAGCAACCATGATAATGTTCCACAACATACCAATCTTCAATCCCCTGACATAATGCAACAACCAAACGTCTAAGCTCTTCCCTTTCACAAAACAACCTATCTAATCCGCCTTTCCATTCAATATCAGCAATATAGTGAGTAAACACTGTTTCAGAATTTCCTCATGATTCAAATGACTTTTGATTGAATTAGATGATTTTTAGCTTTTTGAGCTGAAAATGTTCAATTTTAGTCATTTTTAAGTTCTAAGCCATTTGATAACGAACTTTAGTAGGTTCGAAACCGGTCATGGCAGCTACTACTCACCCTCAAGATTTTCTAGTTATAATGCCAAATGATCAAATGAAAATGCAATTCTTTGTCAAATTGATCAACTTATTCTTAATGTACGTAACTTGGACTATAGGTACAGAGTGTCTTCTTGGAGGAAATATTGATCGATATTTTATACAGGATGAGGGTGTTCTCTATGAACTTCTACTCTCACCCACACCCTTAAGAAAAATCAAATGAAAGCTATTTTCAAAAGTCAAAAAATCGAAATGTAATTTTTATTTCAATGTTATTCATTACATGTTAATCGTGGTAAAAGTGATGGATTAGTCTCAGATTCTAAACATTTAATGTATAGATTTGATATATTGGTTATATTTGAACGAAGATATAATGTTGCTTCTTTTAAAGCATCACGTCGAGCACCTTTTGGTAAAAGTGTGTAGATCGGTTGTAATCGATATGTTATTGCAGTTGGGTTACTTTTAATAGTTGAAAGCCAATTATAAGCAGTTAATGGAGATATTGAAGGAAAGCCACCAATAATTTTAAAATATGATAACGAATTTTTTTCATATTGTTCTTCAACATTTTTATGATAAGTTTCAGTTAATTCTTTGGTTGAAAAGAAAAACCAATAACGTTTAGAGATTTCTCGACGAATCCATTTTTCCGTCATTTTTTTAATCAAACATGATTCAAAATAATCTTCCGCCCATAACATTCCTCCTATATCTGCTTGAACAACAACATGAGTACCGTATGTATCAAAGAAGATGCGGAATTTCTCGAAATTATTTGTATTAAGATCAAAGGTTGAAGGTAGATATTCAATAGCTAAAGCAGCCATTCGACGAAGTTTTGGTAATGGAAATGTAACTGCAGCTAATGTAAACCAAATAACTTGTTGTTTGGTCCAAGCCATTTTATATTTATGTCGATAAAATCTTTCATATCTAGATTTCATTTCTTTTTCATCACTCGTTGCTCCAAATCCAAAAAAACCATCAGAATCTTGTCGATTAGATACAATTGATTCAGTAAGAAATTGTTTTAATGAATCAAAAAATTTTGTATCCAACATTGTTGACATATCTTTATTGTTAATTACAAAAAATCTATCAGGTACTTTGTATGTTGTAAAATTATCAAATACATCAATCCAAGTTATATTATCATTCATTGTTATATCTAATAGACAAGATTTACTTTTTAATTTAAATATATCATAACCACAACCAACAACATCGACCCCCGGTACAATATTTTTATCGTTTATTTCACGTTTTTGTCGTTGTTTAATACTTATCAATTGATCGATTGTTGGTACTTTACCATTTTTAAGATAATAATCAATAGTTAATTGCAAATGTCGTCGAATTTCAATTGGATATTCAATTAATAAAGTTGTCAATGAAACTAAAGTCCGATTTACAACTACTGGTGCAGATAAAACTTGTTCTAACCAAATATCCCATTCTTTGGTTTTTGTTTCACTTGTACTTAATACAACAGGTACAAATTTAATTTTTGTTTGAGTATTTTTCAAAAAATCTGCAGTATTAACACTTTTTTCAGAACCAGTATTAGGGCTCAATGACATCTTAAATTGTTGATACTCAAAACCAATACTTATTTGTTCTTCAATGGAACTTTTACTATGTGCTTCTTGATAGGCACGAGAAATTTCAGTAAACATTTCGACAGTACCACCCAAAATAACAGATGAAGTATAATGAGTACCGAACATTAATACAATTTGATTGTAAAACATTTGTTGATCATCTGTACTTGGATTAAGAACTAATTTTGATAAGCTTTTATTAAACATTGGATCAAATCTAAGAATAATCATATGCGATTTTGAAATGTTATTTTCTATCTACTTACGTTAAGAAGTAAAATGGTGCCAATTGAATAGAAAACAATCCTAACCAATCTGTAGATATTCCTATTGCCATATGATTTTCAGTAATAGATTTATAGACTTCTTTTAATGTCTGATGATAACCAAATGCAATATTTATCACATTCACAGGTATTGATATATCGAATGAATAGGAATGAAAATAACTAAAAGAAATTATTCTTTAGAAATGTTTTAGAAGAAGATTTTTCGAACACCTATGAAAAAATTCTTGATATGTATACGAAATAGATTCAACACTGATACGATTTCGCATATTAATATTAGTAACTTGAACTACACTTGGTGTTTTGAAACGTTGAGTTTTATTCATGATTTTCAAATGAAAATCTTCTCCATCAAAATCACGTAAATTGAATAAACGAAATTTTGTTCGATCGAGTGAAGTGACTTCTTCATTTTGACCGATCATCTTGAGAGCATCAAAACCAGATGATAAATAATCAAGACCAGGTAAATCATTTGATGTTACAATTGGAATTAAAAGCAAATAAAATAATATCATCATTCGTTGAATAGCTGAGAAATCTGAATATTTCCTTTCCGAAAAAAAAGAGAAATGAATTAATCGTTATTCAACTGTTTTTATTTATTTTCTTAAGCTTTCAAGAGAATAAATTACACTTGATAAATCCACTTAAAAATTATGCATAAATTTTCGATTCGATTTATAGTATTATAAATATTTAGTTATTTACAATACGGTTCAAATGTTGGATCCATTTCGTATGCTGGACATGGACAAACAAATGCTTTTTTTTCTCTATCAGTTGCTGGTATGCATCCAGAACATATAAAAGCGTCTGTAATACCGCGACCATCTCCTTTACATGGAATTTTTAACCATGAACAACCAGATTCAATCCATGGACCATTTAAATCATAATCTATAAGTATTTATCACAATGAATGATACCTGAAATCGAAATTAACTTACTACGAAATTTTCCTTCTGATTCCGATAATATTTCTCCAGTAATACGACGTGCTACAGCTCGAAAACTACCAGTTGTTCGATTTCGTTCATAACATAATGGTACATCCCACGTAATTATCCATTCAAAATTGACATATGCTATTGAACATGCAGTTATATTTTTTCCTGTATTACAATTTTTCTGTAAAACTATTGTTGATAATCCATCAGGACATTGTTGAACATCATTCAATGTTATTTTATCACCTAATTCATATGCTGGTTTATCTGAACCATAATAATTAGTTCGAACGCCGTATTGTGCTGATCTCTTCAACAGACTTGTTCTTTCAGATATAATTTGATCTATTGCAGACATTCGAGCAATATTCGATGCATTAATACGATTTGTCATTGCTTTTCTTAGATTTTTTTTAATGTCTATATTTGAAATAACATCATACCATGGAATATATTTGATTACTTTTAATAAAGCTGGGTCAAGTGCTATTGTTTTCTTCCATAATTCTATATCATGAATTTCAATATTACCTCCAACAAGATGATCAATAGCTAATTTTCGTCTTGATAAATAATAACTATTACACGGAGTTTTCAATAGAAGATCTTCTTTTAAGAGTTTTTCCATTTCTTCAATAGATAAACCACCAGTAAAATAATCTGATGACCAAATACAATTTTTAAATACCGCCTGTTGTTCTTTCATTCCACCAATCTCAGTTGAAACAGCAATATGAGTTCCCCATATATTCATAAATTGTGTATAAAGTTCTTCATCATAGATTTTTGTTAATTCATCAATAGCTGATCGTGCATATTTATTTAATACTAAAGTTAATGGAGAATTAGCAGCTAACATTGTTAATGTATATAAACCAACGGGATTTTGTGATACAGATGTAGCTTGATTATCAGTAAAGAATTTTCTGTAAACATCTAGGACATTTTTAGCTAATCCAAATTCTCCCCCTGTCCAATATCCACCATCAGCGTTACGAGTCCATACACTTACTAAATCAAATTCAGTTTTAAAGATACGTACTATTGGATTATTTTCCTGTTGAGATATAGTTGTTAAAATAACTTCATTAGGAATGATGAATGATTGTTTAGAATAAGGATCAATCCATAGATTTTCTGCTCGATCAGAATATGTTAGTTCAAGTGCTGGAAGTGTTATCATACCTGTACTGATATCAATAGTCATTCCTATTCCTCGTGGTAATAGAAGAGGTGGTAATGGTGTACTTCGTTTTGTTTTACTAGTTGCATTAATACCAGGACAATAATGTGCATTTTGATAACCAACTAGTGGACAGAGCGCTTGGCGAGCTTCTGTTAAATTAAATTTATTTGAACTCATCGAACAACTTAAATTCATTATAATTAACAGTATTATTCTATGATAATGTATAGAATGAATCATCTTCTAGTCAAATCAATAATGACAACTGTTATACCTTTCGAATGAAAATAATTTTTTTTTTGCTAAGAAATCGAATTCAATATGAATATATTTTCTAAGCAATTACCTACATAGAAATTAATTTATCATTTTTATTCATTGTTAAGAAAAGTATGCTCTCTTGAAAAAAGAAATAATTTATTCCGACTAGATTAATATTCGTATTATATCTGTGACACAGTGGAAAAAGAGGACGTACATTAACGAAACTGAAATCATTGACAGTACAAGATACCCAAAGTATGATTAAAAGAAAAGAAAAGTATATCCTCAATTCTTTTTTCACATATTATTTCACGAAATTACAGTTTTGTTTATCGTTCATTATCATAAAAGTTCGACTAAAAATCGTTTCCATTTATGTTTAATGTTATGCTCTGCTATATGGTATAACTGATGTGTATGGTGGCGGTGGTGGTTGTTCTTCTTCTAAAGATTCAAATACTCTTGCTAATGGAACTGTAAAAGGCACATCAATTGCATTTGTTATTGTTGCAGTTATTTGAATATTTCCTAGAGAAGATCGTCGTCTTCGAATAATTTGATTATGTTCCAATGATGTTAACTGTTGATGAGACATATTCTTTCGTCTGCATCGACATATACAACAACAGATAACAATTCGAACACATACGCTACAAATTGGAACAACAATTGCAACGATTGCTTTTGTTGATGATTTATCATCAGGTGAATAGGGTGTCTCACAACTACCACATAATTGATGATCTATCGTGTCAAAATAGAAAGAACAATGAAATTACTAATTAAAATATTCTTTTTTCTAGCCTTCTGTTGGTGCAATTGAACAGAAAAAAATCCATGATGAACCACTTGCTATAATTTGAAAGCTTCCTCGAATATCTCTATTAGTTGTAGTTACGACTAATATATATGTATATTGAGATTGTAAAGTAGTATAAAGTTGAAATCGTCGATTAGTACCACCATCATCGTTAGATGTGATCAAATTTTGAGAAGGACGAGATGGGTCAAATGAATTATTGTAAAAGTAACCATAGGTATCGATTGTACTGTCACTCATAAATATGTATTCCCGGCTCATAGGTATTCGCAATTCAATAGCTTGATAATAATAGTTTTTATTTTTGTTATTTGATGATCAAGAGAATAATGGGCTGTTAGAAGGTAAGATACCCGAGTAGGTAGATGTAATTGTTGCTAAAATAATTGTTTTTTTTACTAATATGTCAAATCTTTTTTTTAGAAAAACTTACGTGTTGTTGATTCCGAAATTAAATGAAAATTCTCAGTGAGTATAACCGATGCTGGACCTTCAACTACAATTGTGAACTATCCTGTAATGTTCGAACGATAGGTGGTAACGAATAAAATATATTTCTTACCGGATTGTAAATCACGACTAATTCGAAATTGTGAACCATCGCCACTGTCATCGTCATATACAATCATACTCTTCGAAGGATTTGATAGATCTACAGCATCATTATGCAAAGATCCATATGTATCTATTTCACTTTTGCTTGTAAAAGTGTATACTCCTGTCATAAAGATTCTTACTGATATTGCATGATAATAGTATAATTGGTTTGTATCACCATTAGGTCGAACAAATGTTGGACTGAATGAAAATAATTCATACATATATTCTGTTGTTGTACGAACATTACTTTCGATTCGTAGAGATGCGACAGTTTCTAAAATAATAAATAATTATTATACTTTAGATTTATTCTGATCATATCTACATCTCTTATTCTTACCATTGTTCAACTTAAAAACGAATCCAATTTGAATAATAAATACAATAAAAATGAAGATATTCATAAATGAATTGAATGGATGAAAATACATCTTTGTATTCTATTGTAAATGATCTCTTTCAGTTTGAATAAGAAAAAACAATGAATATATCAACTTGTTTCTTTTCGGTGAAAAAGGATTTGATATTTTTAAAGCATTTATCCTCTTGATATAATCATATTTATTTATTTGGGCTTGCTTATCTTTGACAAAATTAATAATTATCGCTCATGAAACAGAGTCTGCTTGATAATAAAAGGTGAGATCGAAGAAAAAACAACTTTTAAAGACAAAAAAGTCTTCTATTTGTTAAATACCATTTGTATGTTACAAAGACTATCGCAAAAAAATGAAATATCAACATTACAATATGGAATCATCTTATTTCCTCGCTAGAACCGCCTGAAAGAAGTTAATATCTAACCGGTAAATTAAAAAAATACACCTAGAAATTCTTTTTTTTTAAGCAACAGAAAAAAATATATTAAAGCTTGAGCATCATAATACAAGTGGAAGTCAACAGACAAAGAGCTGATTCCACAGTTTTGATGCATTTTCAGATTTTAAAATTAGCGATTTTTCTCGTAATTTAAAATTCAAATAACACCCGTAGAATTACACACTATCGTTCTTAGATAGTCAAGACTAAAAATATTATTTTTATACAAAATAATTCAACCTAGATGAGAATGATATTAATAAATAATACTCATTGATGCAGACCCGCTTAGCCCTCAACTGAAGGATCGACAAAATGGAATTTGAGGGTGAACGTAAGAGTATGTGTCAAAAAGATATACCCTCGTCCACACCCTCAAAAAACCGTTCCGGAGGATACTTGGTATTTGGGCTACAGTTCTTCGACAAGACATCCTATGACTTTTGTTCAAGAACAAAAAATTCTTAGAACTGATTAATACAAGCCTTGAAGGTTTCAAACGATTTGGTGAATGTTGTGTATATCGTGTCACAAGTACCATGGAATCACGCATTATCATTGCATAAGAAATTTGTCTTTGAAAACGAAAGAGTTGCTACTAGTAAAAGTTTTAGCTATGTCTCTTATTGTCATGATTATCGGAAAATATGCTGATGTATTCGTATTATTATACAGATCATTAAACTTTACTTTAATATTCTTATTTTATGTATATTTTATAGGAGAAAATAATATCGAATGGCTGTGAATGTGAAAATAGTTCGATTAGCAAACGATTATAGTTATTCAAAAAGCTTTATTTATTTATTCAAGGAAAAAAAATCATTTTTCGATTTTTAATCTCTTTTTCCCTTTTCTGAAAGAAAGGGTTATACAACGATTAAATCATGAGCTTCAAATGCTAAAAGTTTGTCTGTTTGCCCGTCCTATTCAATCAGAAAACAGCATTCCGTAAATCAACGAAAACTTAGCCGGAAGTTACTGACAGAAGGGTAATTGGGATCAAGAATCATGATTCTGGTGTTATTGTTTTTGAATTCTAATTAATTAATTAACTAACTAATTATAAGTTATTATACTACTATGTAAGGGGTTTATCGTAGAATAGTTGAAGTCGAGAATCTCGAAAACGCGTGAGATGCCTAATTCGACTTATATTATAAGTCGACCCCCGACAGGCTAGTATCAATTCGAATATAAATAGATATCTATATAAACCTTATAACAAATGGCTAGACAGGAATAGAAATAGCTTTAGTTTTACTAATCCATATATACCCCCACACCCCTGTGAGTTTAGGAAAAGAAATATATTTAGTTTTACTTATACATATATACCCTCACTTATATCTATCTCGATTGACGGTGCCGCGGTGGGTGTACACGCGGCTATATCTCCATTGAGGTTGCCGGGGTGGGCGTGGACACGAATATATTTCGATCGAGGGTGCTGCGGTGGGTGTTAGCGATGGCATATATGTATAAGTAAAACTAAAACTATTTCTATTCCTAAGGGTGCTAGGAATTGGTGACTTATATTATAAGTCGAATTAGGCAGCTACTCTACGATACTTATGTGAGCTTTCATTAAACATCTTTGCGTGGTCGACTATTATACATCAGATCGTCTGATAGAATTTCTATAAGAAATATGTGTATAAAATCCAGATGGATGTTTGTAGTTGTTTTGTCGGATCTAGCTGTGCGTCCAAAATGGAAATAATATTTTAAACATGGAAAAAAGCAGACGAAAGAATAAAGGCGTCTGCGTTAACGGCTAGCCGTGAGTGGTCGACCGGAGAGAGGCCGACGAATGACTAGACGTTGAGTTGTAGAGTCATATATAAGAATGGGGATTAAAATGACTTTACGTGCTCTGAACGTTTGCTCGGAGGTGCTTACTTGATGATCTACGAGAACGAATCCGACAAATTGTTGTTTCCGGAAAATGACGCGTTGATGTGAAGTTCTTTTAGTCTACGAAATAATCTAACATGATGCGCGAACTTTTCACGTTACACTTATGTAATTGAAGGGAAAGTACAGTACTGTTCAAAAAAACTTGCACATCTTGTTATAGAAATAAATTCTTATTTTATTTGTAAGTCACTTGCAGGAACTTTTATATATGGTTGATAGCCTATGACAATCACTATGTAACAGCACATTTTAGTGTTTTATTCATTCACGTTTAGAAGAAATAAGAGACAAACATATGTTTCTCATGGACGTCACAAAATTCTTTACAGTATTAATATTAGTATTTTTTATTTCTTTGCCCCAAAAACAGTTCAGGTTCATCATTATTTTTTTTAAATTTGTGGTTTATGATCGCATCTTGTTAAGATGTGATGTTTCGCTATATTCAACGAAGACGATGATAACACTCGACATATATATGATCGAGAAGACCAACTAATTAGAAAATATATGTGAATCGAACCATTTTTGTAAAAGTAAAAGAATTCTTTTGTCATCATTTTGTTAGATATTTTATCTTTTATACAAGACAATGTTTTCTTATCAATTCTATAATGACAAATATATTTTATGCTTTGTGATATGGTGTTTTTTGAGTACTTTTCGTCATAGATGAGGAGTGAAAGATATTTCGATTCGATGTCGCCCACCGGTGGGCGATGCTATATTTTAACGGGAAACTGTATAGAAAAAGACACTTTCTTTTGCTGTATACGATGCTCCGTTACATACTGACTTTTCGCCGGAAAATAAAAAGAAACCCAACAACGTGTGGCACATTCTTTAATTTTACAAATTAATTGTTTGATCAAACTTACTCAACAGATGCGAACAGAAGACTCACGATATCTTCAATTACTTGAACGACTTCGTCAAGGTCAATGTAGTTATGAAGATTATGAATTATTATTGACGCACGTTGTCGGGCAGTCATCCGTATCCCTTCGTGAACCGCCATGGAATCAAGTAAAATATATTTCTCTACTCTAAATAAACATATTTTCTATGCTTTTTTTGTTTTCGGCTCCCATGCTTGTATTTAGAAATGAAATACGAACGCAATCGAACCACAGATCAGCAATTCATAATGCAGTACAAGCGGGTTGCAATCCACTGGTATGGCTTGCTCAGGACTTTNGCAAGACATCACGATCGTAGACCAATGATTTCTCCATGAAAACATATGAGAAAAGGGATCGGAAATACATCAGCTGAAAGAGCGTCATCCAAAGATTCCCCAAATATAAATTTGCTTGAAATCGGTCATAAAATAGATGAACGCGAATAAAAATGAAATCAAGTTTCATTTCAGTGTCGTTATTAGGGAGAAGTGCTGTAACATATATGTAAGTTTCCCAAAGTTTTATCAGTTTTATAGGAACGATTTGAATACACACAGGACCATTGAGACGTCATTGCGAATACCTTATAGAATAAATTGGTTTTGAAAGGGAACAAATGAAATCTTCAACAGACCACCATGCAGATGAGTCTACAATATTCGATCGTGTGTATCGTCATTTCTACTATCTACCGATGAGTACTATGCTATTTTATCTTATTTGTATTATAGGTTATTGACCTAATTTCCACGCACTGGATATCAGTACCAGTATCGCGGGATAAATGCCACTAAGACCTCTACTGAATATCGATTTCTATCGTCACCTTTCGATGTATGTGTGTACAACAGGTATTTCATTCAGGATTTTTTCTCATATCATACAACTTAGTTGAAAGTCCATGAAAAAATAATACAGTGTATGTTGTTTACGCAGAAATATTTTATGCAAACATTATGGAAACCTCAGTTTACACATACTATTGCAACGTGTCATGCTCACGAGATTTGTCTGGTGTATAGTTTTTCGACAATTCTTCTTCCGGCGTAGAAAGAAGAAAAGCTAGTGATAACCATCAGTTAAGCTATCTTCGATACGCTCTTTAAAGATTGTCGAATGTCGTCAAGATATCCACGATTTTCTCATTGTTGCAATACAGTTGGATGCCTGCACTGACAACGCGTAACTTTAATTCTAGAACTGATGCTAGTTCAGATTGTATTTGAAATAGACTTGAAGTGAAGTTTATAACTAGAGTTGTTCATTTCCGATATGTAAAACAGAATATTGTTGCTCTAACAGATGCAAAACCTTCAAGTACGTGTCTCTCTACATTTCATGCCGTTTCTTAATCCGAGAAAATCGTATGAATCGTTATTAAACGAAGCAATAAAATCACATCTACGAAAGTCGCTATTTTCTGCATTAAGCATACGCAAATTGATTGTAAAA